ACCCGAATTTCTAAACCCATTTTACATTTCGAAAACGATTTAAAATTTATTTTCTTAAAATGGTAAATGATATTATAAAATATCATATCATATGAATTGTGTTTCTTTATAATAATTTAATTTAAAAGATTTTTTTTAAATAGTGAACAATACCCGTGAACAGTGAACAGTGGGGGAATTAGTTCCTTGTATGGGGGAATCGGTACCCCTTATGTAATCTGGAAATTTTGCTTAAAACGTGGTTATTGTTCATACTACAATATCTGCTACAGTAACTTCCGAAAATACATATAAATTCATAAAAATTAACCTTTCATCAATATAAAAATTTCCAAAATTTATTCAACAAATAAATTGAACATTTTCAAATTACATGCCACAATCTAAAATTAAATTCCATCGTAAGATGTCTTACTGATATTGAAATATACCTCTCGATGCTTGATGTCACTTTGAACTCTTTAATCCTCTATTGGATTTGTACCTACGCGTGAAAATCATCACACGCTAAGTATAAACTTAGTGAGGCAAGTAAAATAATATATAGTGCAATACATTTCATGCATGAATTTCAATGACAAATTCAAAATGCCATAAAATCATGTTATTTTCATATCCAATATTTTACCATGATCAAAATAATATAAAATCTCTTACCATTTGTCCCATAAGCTCGTAAGCTTATTTTACCAATATACTTACCATTTAATACCATAAGCTCGTAAGCTTATTTTACCAATATACTTACCATTTGTTCCATAACCTCGTAAGCTTATTTTACCAATACACTTGCAATTATTCCATAACCATATACCATAAACAATAGACAATAGCTCAATATACAACCCTGAGGACCCTGGGTACACGAGTCAAATACTTGCACCGTAGTGCAATCCCGAATATGACACATAAGGTCGTGTCCACCATCTGTACTAGGCATCCTTAAGTACAGTTCCCGAATATGACACATAAAGTTGTGCCCACCATATACACTAGTATCCTTTAGTGTATTCCCGAATATGCAGCCTAGACTCTATGGCATGCCAACTATACCATGTCCCTCAATGACTTACTTGGGCGTACAGTCTATTTTATTTGATCCATCCATGGAAAAGTATATTATCAATATTTAACAATGGGACAGTTCATACCCAAAATAACATTCATGATAAAAATCATATATGTTCATGATAACATCATATGCAAAAATCAGTGATCAATGTATTTTATTTTCAATCTTTAACATATTTAGAATATATCAAACATATGATAAATGACATAAATATCATGTCAACATAAACAAGGTCGACTTATCGCAAGTCTTCCTGATGATGTATAAAACATCCATGTATAATGTCATGAATGTATTGCACTCACCTTGACACTTTATAATTTTTCCAAATAGTTGTGCCTCACTATGTTCCACAATAAACCCTTTTTATACTTGACTTGCTTCAATCGCAAATCAATCATAATCTGTATAAATCAAAAATTCATAATGATACATATGTTAGTATTGTACTAACATAAACATATCCCGAAAATAACTCCATAATATATTTGGAACTCATATTCTACCAAATACTCAGTACTTAACAATTCCTTTTAACATTGGAACCAACTTTTCCAATTTACACAACAACCCATCAATTTTCCAGAATTCAGACAACTCGCACAACCTTTAAAGAATCAATATTCTGTATTGATATACACACTGGAATTCAATTCCGATTCTTCCGTTGAAAACTACACTCGAATACAAATCTATCCATATAAAGAAATCCTTCTAATTCATTCTATACAATTTATGTGAATTTTCAAAGTTGACCAACATAATCTATTTTGCAGAATCTGCTGTCCGATTTTTCTGACCTTTCCTTGGTTAAAAATTCATATCTTTTTGTACACACCTTGAAATTGATCCCCGTTTATTTTTAAAAAAACTAGATCGATATATGAACACAATATATAATAATAACCTCACAATATATAAAAATAACCTCCAAATTATTTTTATATAATTTCTTGTGAATTTTCGAACCTACTGCCAGATTCAAAATCCAAACTATTTTCTTTAACTTCATTCTTAGGTTCTTCATCAGTTCTTACAATCAATTCTTTAAAATCACTTAACTCTTCAAAACCCATAAAACACAAGAATCAAAATCCCCTTCATCAACTCAAGATGAACTTGAACATGAAACCCTAGTAATATTCATGTCAAAATGTAGAGAACTGAACGTAGAACATTTTTCCTAATCACACCGAGTCTAATTCTCAAGAAATAACTTCAAAATTAAAACTAAAGATGTTTACCTTTCTTGCTTGAAAGTGCCGACACTTGGATGAAGAAGAAGCTAAAATTTTCCCCCATTATTCTTATTCTAATGTTAATTATATCTAGCACATGCTTAATATAATATCATAATGGAATTTTTTTATTCCATTCCATAAGAATTTCCATTTTTCCCTTAATGAATTTCCATATTCACCATAAAACCAAGCCAACTGATCATTATCATAATACAAAGTCAAATATGAATTAATTTGACTTTGACCTGCGAAAATGCCATGAAATTTTCAAAACTTGCGTTTTAGTCACTAAATTCCACTGTTTTGGTTAAATCTGAAAAATTGCACAATTCCAAACCAAATTTCTTTGATCCAAAATATTAAAATAATATTTCCAACCATTTTATAACATCCTTCAAATTTTTGTAAAATTCCAATTCGATCGGAATTACAGATTCCTTATCAGACTTTAACCCTTTCTAATATTTCTTTACTAAAATTCCAAATCCATAAATATGATTTCTATAAAACCCCACTCTCAATAGTAAACCATATATTTATGGAATAAAATTCTTTTTAGGAAATTATCACTTAATTCCTTAAACTTTTTCCCAATTATTCTACTTTAACCATCAAACTTTCAAAATTTTTATTTTGGTCACTGTCTAAATTTTTGGGGTATTACAGTTATGCTGCAAAATATATGCCTTGGAGCTGAGCGTAGTCGAACTCGAAGGTCTTTTGGTGACAGATAACTCTTATAGCCTTGAGTTATGTTGTAAATAGTTTCTTAAAAAAATGGCTTCCCTTCACGGGTCTAAGCCGGTCATAATTCTCTAGGTGGTTCCCCTAAGCATGTCTGAACCAAGTAATGTGATTTTTGGATGACTCCTCTTCACAGGAAAGTCCACTGATAAATTCTGTCAGTCGAATATCTTTCGTCGTGGAATTGAAATCTGGCTTGAAAATGTCAATCGGGAATTAGCCACTCGTCGTTGAGTTAATCTGAACCTAGACACTTTCTGAACTGGTTCTCAAACTCATCTGAAGTTGATTATCGATCTTTCAATTTGTCGAATTGGTTGAGGTGTAACTTCTTGCTGCTGAATTAAGTAACTACCATCAATCTTTAAAGGTGCTTTCGAATCGAGTATCCTTCGCCTTGAAGTCGAAAGTTGACTCTAAAAGCTATAAAAAAAATCATGTATGCGAAAAATAATAATAAATGTGATGCTCTTAAGTATGCCTAAGACGCATGCAACATGAATGGGTTATATTTTATCTCTTGGATTGGAGTCCCGTGTTTTACCTACCAATCTGGTCCATGGAATCGATCGTGCCCCATTCTCTTTTCAAGCTTTGGCTTTACAGACCTTTCATATATGAGACTACTCTATTTGAAAATGTTTTTCTTATTTTTCCTATTTTAGGAGGGAAAATGATAAAAATATTGTAAAATATTGCTCCTTAATTGAATCAAATTGTAAATATGAGTTCAAAGTATATCAAAGGAATCAATAGCTCTTTTAATGCTTTCAGAGTTATAGCTCTTTGATAAATGTTCAAATGGATGAGTTAACTTTAGGTGGGCCTCCTATTTAGCCATAACAAATGTCATTTGTTTGGTCATTGATTGGCTTGGTATTTTAATTGGATGCAGACAAAATGACGCAACTAGCATAATCAATTACTATACCTTTTATTTTAGTCCTCTGAAATCTTTCATTTGTTCAAGCTTTGTAGGCTCTTCAAACAAAGACAGTGCAGAAATATCGGTCTAAAAATGAAATTCCTGAGTGCTCGTGTGAAGTTGACTATAACATGTGTTCCTTAACTCCCTTAGTCCATTTTTACCAAAATTTTTTGCTTAGATAAATTTGATTTAATTTGTTGTTATCTGGATAGTTGAATCCATAAAGCCAGGGCATTTAACCAATTGCTTTAGAGGGAAAACTTAACATTATAATCACTTTTATCAAGTTAAATGAAGGGTTCATCACATCATAGAGTCTTCGGCCTGACAAAAGCAGTAGAGTAGACACCGAATTGCCAAGCGTCCGAGCTATGTCATGGTTTGAACACAATCTATTCATAAAGTCAGGGCTCTCAAGTTTCCTCTACAACCAATTGCCTTAGTGGAATAGCTCAGCTTTAAGGATTTAAGATTGTCAAGAAGAACCTGTTATAGTCTAGGTGTTTGTTGAAGGTCAAAAATTTCATCTTTAGAGTTTAATTTCCAAGCAACTGACCTAAACCAGATTTGCTTACTTGACTATTCCATTTGTGAAGATCATTATCATCACTGAACATCTTAAATAAGAAGTACAACAATTTTCATATGCAAAAGAGACCCCATGTTGTCCGCACCTATGCACATCTAAATGCCAAGCCTTCTGAAGGAAGAAGGCTATGTAAATGGTGTTTGAGTTTTTCGAGGTAAAGTCCTAGTTTTATCAGTTTTTGATCAGGTTAATTTATCAAAGATCTATAATTCTGAATCATTTACAGATTTTTTTAATTCAGTTGATATTAAAATAATTGCAAGTTTACAAATGTAATTCATTGTTCAATATCTTTAAAGCAATATAAATTTATTTAAAAGTTTTTACAAAAAACTTGAGAAAAAAATGAAAAACCAAATTCAAACAGAATGTCTCAAATGATGAAATGATCTTCCTCACTTGGATGTCCCCAAGTTGTTGAAGTCGATCCAGTTTTGGTTACGCATCTCCTGTACGACTCTCTTGAATACATAACAGTTCTCGATAGTGTGCCCTGGGACATCGTCGTGATATTCACAATGAGCATTCTCATCATACCACTTGGGGTAAGTGGGCTTTATGGGTTCCACCGGATATGGTGACACTACGTGGGTGTCATGAAGTTACTGCTAAACCTCCTTATAGGTAATGGGAATAGGGTCGAAATGTTCTCTTTCCTTCCGGGGTTCTCTAAAATCTTGTTTAGAAGTACCAGTCGGTATAGCTGCATTTGATTTCGGCTTGGAGATTGTAACACCTTTATTAGTATGGTAGGTGTTAACATTGTTAATATCCCCATCCATTTTCTTTACAGGAGGTTTCTTACTAGCCTCTCCATCATTTATCTTACCTTGTTTTATGGCCGACTCAACCATTTCTCCGGCCATAATTGTAATACCCTCAACTCATACCCGACCCGGATACGAGTCTAGGATGTCACATTGACTAAACAAAACAATATTCTTAAAAAATCGATAAAACATTTGAACTTATATTATTAAAATACAATAATATACATATGTTAATATAAGTTTATCAAAATACTCAGAGCATACACCACTTGACACTTTGATTACATGCCAACATTCATTTACATAACAAAAGGACCTACTGGTCAAGTTGCCTTTGATCTGATAGTTGCAGGAGTAATGTTATCCAGCTGATTAACATGTCTCGTCTACTTTCTTGGATCCTACGTGTGAAACACTTACACGCTAAGTCATCGACTTAGTGAGGAAATATAATAATAATGATAACAAAGAAATGTAATGGAAATGCCATAATTAAATAGAATGAGACGAAATCAAATGCTTAACTATGCAGTTTATATCACCATGTTCTTTACATGTAAGCATAATATATTAACATTCATGAATTCATATTAATAAGATTATTGGCCCATGATACCATACTGAGAACCTAAGGTATGTGAGTACTATGAGGTTGTGCACTATGTTATCACCACAACTCGTATAAATGCACCGAAGTGCCACGTAGAATTGCACTGAAGTGCCGCGTAGAATTGCACCGTAGTGCCATATAAGATTGTCCCTAAGGACCACGTAGAAAATTTCCTTAAGAATCATATACATATGCCAAGGTTCAAGTATGTGTCTTAAAAGACCTCACACACATGTTCCAAAGAATACATATATATCCCGAAGGACCGCATAGACCCTCTACTTTTGGCATGCCAACTATACCTATAGTTCTCATCTACATAATATGGGCTTTCACCATTCCCATAATTTATATTGTATAGACATATAATTTCCATACCTTTATCACATAAACATATCATGTTCCATCACTTTATCACATAGCTTATATAACATTTCCTGCATATTCATGTCACTTAATGCATATAATATGAATTCATGTCATGTATCATAATATGAAATGTGATCATGTTTCAAAATATTGAATCTAGACTTATCACAAGTATAGAACTGAATAGAATACTATATTCATGCTATGCATATGCACTCACCTATATTTCCTTGTTTTTTCCTCGATCGATCTTATGAGGTAATTGTTCTGGAACTTGTTTAGGCTCGGTATCTACAGAGTAATTCATTGATGCTAATCAGTATACTAATTAATGTATTCTAAACTATCATTTCTTGGGCTAAAAAAAAAGCCATTTTCATCTTTTAATGAATGTATGCATCGATGCACCACACCATGCATCGATGCATAAATCCTATTAGAATTTTATATTTAAGGGGGTGTATCGATGCACTCCTTATGCATCGATGCACTGATGGCATTGGATGTTATATTTTAAAAGAGTGCATCGATGCACTTCATGTGCATCGATACACCTTGAACAATTTATGGGATTTATCCTTGATGCATCGGTGCACATTGAATGTGCATCGATGCACATAGCCCATAAATGTCATTTTAAGCACGAAAATCTCTTTATAATCTTCTCTACACTTTATATTTCACCTCTTTTTATATCCCTAACTTGCATACACTTACTTAAACTAATTATTATCCATTCAACACCTTTAAAACTTAGAAATCCAATTCTCCATATAAAATTTAAGAATTTCACTCAATTTCCAACATGTTCTAAATCGAATTCTGACACTTCATATCCTTTAATTAGCTTGATGACAAGTCAAATCCCACTTCTAATTCTTATTATGAACTCTAATCCAAGATTTTACTTTTCTACTTCCTTTCTTTAATCCTTCCTAACCCTATCATCTTATGGTTTTAAGATAACCTAAGCTTTCCTTAAGCTTAGTTATCATCTAATGATCAATAAGCAACTTTAAATTCATAAAGAATTTGATTAACAAGAAAACTCACATTTAGCTTTGTCTTCACGATGAAGAAGAAAGAAAGAAGAAGAGAAATCTGGAAACTTTTGTCTTCTCTACTAACTTTCACGTGGTTTATTAAATAACCTTAAGTAATATTTATTTATTTATTTTTCTAAAAGACTCATTTGCCCTCTTACTTTCCCTTCTTTGCTTATCCATCCTACATGAAACATTCCCATTAAATCTTCCAACTATTCAATTTATCTACTTTGGTCACTAAATTTTAAAATTCCACAATTTGATCACTAACCCGGTATGGAGGATGTTACAATAACCAAGCCTGAAAAGCTTCCTGATGTGATCGCAACCAGGTGTCCGAAGTATGGAGTCTTCAGGGTCTGTACAAAAAGTTTTCATATTTCTTTCTCATCTAAGGGCGGATGAACGTGTACATCCAAATCCCTCCATTTTTGTATGTATTGCTTGAAACTCTCATTATGCTTCTTTTCCATGCTTTGTAGCATAACTCGATCTGACCTTATGTCATTGACATGCTTGTATTGTTCTAGAAATGACTTGGTCAGGTCCCTCCAGGTCTTGATATTTGATCGGCTTAGCTGGTTGTACCACCGGATGGCTGAACCCGACAGATTCTCCTGGAAGCAGTGGATCAGGAGTTGGTCGTTTCCTCCATATCCTATCATTTTTCGGCAGAACATGGTGATGTGAACGAATGGGCAACTATTCCTGTCAAACTTCTCAAATTCTGGGGTCTTGAATTTCGGAGGAAGAACCAAGTCCGGGACTAGACTGAGCTCCACGACATCGACTCCAGGGTAGTCATGGTATCATTTAACTATCTTCATTTGCTCCTCCAATTGCTTGATTTTCTCCTCCATCTTCTTTGATTTGTCCTCTTCGTCTAAATCCAGTATATGGTAATAACCCGGATTGTTCTCAATGTTAAATCCAGAGGACGAGGGCTTCACTTTTGTGGTAGATGAGTCCCCTCGAAGTTCCGATAAGATTTAAGGTGAGACAACCACTTGTGGGGTAGGTGGTATAGTTACCCCTTCCGGCGAACCTGCCTCATGCGGACTGGTCTGTTGTAGGCCAACTAACTTGGAAACGATCAGATCAACCAAAGAATCTTGGTTCTTCATGATTGTATCCAGAGTACTCAGACTACTCTGGTTTATCTTATCTTCAAGTTCTTTCTGCAATTTTTCCATGTTCTCCTTGATTTTCTCGATTCTTACTTCCATCTTCTTCTTATTTTTCAAGCGGGTGTTATGCGGATGAGGTGTGTCTACTTGAGGTGGTGTATCTAGTATGTGTTCCTTTCGATAAGACATGCTTCTGTTAGTTAATGCGAATGTAAAGAAAAATAAAAAAAAATGCAAAATATGTCTAAATGCATGATGCATGAAATGTTCGAGGCATTGAACCAAAAATTTGTTTGTTATTATAAATAATCCTTATTGGGGACAAAAGTGTTACGTCTAAAGAGACAAAAAACATTTTGATAGTATAAATCCCGAACATCCTTTGACAAGTTGGTTCGTCTTTCGTCTGTCGAACCGTTCCGACTCATTTGGCTAGACTGTGCAAGTGACGAGCTGTTTGCCTCGAAAAAGTCTCAAAGGATTGCATCTCCGGCTTCCACTCTTTACTGAGTCTGTTCCCTAACGGTAACACCATTGAAGCCCTTCATCGATGGAAAATATCCGAAGCTTTCTTCTTGAATTCGTCAGCAATGGCATCCAGCTCAACTAGGTTCTCTCTATCTTGTTCTCGTAGTTTTTGAAAGAAGCGTCCTGGTCAGTAACAATTTCCTCATCTTGTCCCTGCAACCTTTGCCTTTGAGTCTTTTTTTATCACAACTGGACTTCTGAGCTTTTTATCTCTTTGTATTATAACCCCTTTGTCCATTAATGCAAATTATTCATGTTTAACAAACATGTTTTTGGTGGATCAACACCTCTTTTAAATGATGCAAGTGATGAAAATAAAATAAAAGAAAACAAAAATGAAAAGAGTTGGTGATGTGAAAATAATCAAAAACAATCATGAAAATAAAAGTCATATCCCACATGATATCTACCCCACATGCTTATTATTCCTACCCGGACATGATCTCTATCCCGCATGCTAATTTCAAACAAATCCTAATCGCATATTTGTCTAGTTCGCATGCTTTGAACAGAAAGTAAATAAGGAAATAAAGCAGCCTAGGGTTTGGAATGTGGTTTTAGGGTGGGCTCTAATTCCCTGTACTCTCCCGGTTTAGGTTCTAAAGAGGGTACTCGAGTTCTCCTTGCTGGTGCCCCCTTGGGCTTGCCAGAACCTTAGTCTTAAGCCCATTACAAGCTTATGTGGACTAAGTTAAACTCGAGAGGAAACATTTCCTTATGTCTGCACGGTGAATAAATTCACACAAAGACATAAGATTTATGAATCCTGAAGGTTACTTGCTAAGCTCGCACGGTGAATAAATTCACATGAAGGCGTCACTTGAACCCCCACTTAAATAGGGTTCGGAGCCCGGTATAGAGCTTGAGATGAAAACTTTTGAAAATATGAAATCATTGAAAAAACGTCAGTACAACTATTTATTTGAAAAAAACGGAAGTAAATAATTAGAATCGAATAAATAAATTTAAATTTAAATTTACTATTTT